CCATCAGTGTGGTGACCAATCGGGGGTCTTCTTGCTCGACCAATAGAATTCGATCATCACCAAGTGATTGATCTCTCCAGAATAGGGGATTCCGGTTATACCTCTTCTATTGGGAAGTCTGTACAGGAGAAATATTTATTATTTTCCTTAACCACTACTATGAATCGCTCCGAAAACGCACATTTACCGTACCCCGCGGTCTATCAGACCGCTACTCCGCTTCGATCGTAATTTCCATTTGTTTGCGTGAATGAATCAATACTTTTTGTAACTGAAGGTTCAAATGAGGGCTATAACGGGGAAGGGTTGAACAGAAGAGGTGAAATGTATTTGGAAAGCTCATGCGCCTGTTTGGTGTTGACAAACCCAACGTGGATCCGATTGCAAATCTACCAGTGGAAGTGACGCAGTTGATTCTCAGACAGCTTGATCCCCAATCACTCTTAAACGCAGCTCGAGTATCCCGGAGATAGCATCACGTCTGTCGAGGTGACTCTCGACTGAGGGCCACCGCCAGACGCCATCTCAGAAAGAAGAAAATGCTCGCTAACAATAAGACAGTGTTTCCCGCTTATACCCTAAGACATCGATACTCAGTATCGTATCGAAGCGGATTTTTTCATATCTATCCCGCAAAATATCGCCTTGGCAACTATGGATACGCGAAATATCGATATTTTTTAAGATTCTGGATGACAATGACAAATAAAGAAAATTTGAAGTGGAAGAATGCCACATAAAGATATAATGAGTATCGATACGATCGAGAAATACTATAAGACAGCCGTCAGACCCTCTCAGAAGTATGCTTAGGTTTAGGTGAAATAGTAGGAAGCTAGATAATAGTTCTTTATATAATTAGTGACAATTGCTAGGAACGTAGTTTCCGTAGTAGATATAAACTGGCAATTTAAATTAATGCACTTGTAAATTAATAGAATTTCAAATTAACTATTGAATAAAGTTACTATCGATCGTACGATTTTTTCTATAATTCATTTAACCCTTTGTGTTTATCGTTTTCGAACAACTCCTTCTCATCAATATACGGTCATAAATGAGAATATATTAAAAGAGTTAAGCAGTTTAGTTCATTAACCCTCGATGACTTGCGCTCTGCCGCCAACCTTCATCCGTCACACGGTTGGCGCAGCGCCGCTGGGTTAAACCGAGGGCGCTGTTGCCACCTTAGGTCTTACCGCTATGCGCGTTCCAAGTGTGGCAGAGAATGTAGCAACACTGTCGCTCGACAGGGACGCGCTTGCGCCGGGTGGCGTGGCGCCGCTTTTCTGCCCATTCAACGTTTCTATTCTTTTTTTAGCTAAACAATTTCCCCGAGACAAAAAACGGACAAAACCAACGCTAATAAATGGATTGAACTAGGAACTCGAATTTTTACAGAATTTTTAAGCGTTGAGCAACACGCTAAAATATAAAAGAACGGACGGCGCCGTGCTCATTAAGCGAGTGATCGAGGGTTAATATGTTGCATCGAAATACGTACACGAAGAGAAAAGTTGCATGACAATTTTCTATAAAATCGCGCAAATTTCGCGATATGGAGAGGTAATCGTGTAACAAAATAGCCATTCGATAAAGAATACTTTTGGGAGGACAAAATCGGCCGCGCGTGTTACGCACACGCCTTCCTCATTTCCTCACGTTAGAGGCACTACAGTTTCAGTCTTTCGCTTATTCGAGATTTTCGAGATATATCGAGATTTCCTTTCGAGATTTCCGCTCTCCTTTTCGCGATACGATGTTTCGAGTGGTTTAATAAAAAAAAAACACATTTTGTATACTAAAATTTCCCACACTGGTATAGGGTTCTTGATACCCATGTAAAGAGTATGGGAATAGACGAAATTGAAATGTCACCATACCGCGTTTGGTAAAAAGTCGTTTTCTGTACTGCTTCTCACGATTCCTCAGCTGGGAATTGGTATTTTGCATACCTGCCAAACTCGGAAACTTGAAAATCACTGTAAAAATAGTATTTTTCCGGGCTGCTGCAATGGGGTTTTTACTCGTGTGGTGGCCAGTCGCCACATAAAAAACCCCATCGCAGCAGCCCGGGACAAGATTTTTTGGTAGCGATTTTCAAGTTTTCGAGTTTGGGATGAGATGCAGCACAGAAAAATCTTTTCCCAGGGCTGTTGCGCTGGTGTTTTTTTTACTCGTATGGTTGGCCATTCAATACTATTTCCGTTACAGAAAAATTCCAACACATACGTGAATGATTACACGTCATTCAGCTTTTATTCACGTTCACTTGAAAAATTTTGGTGGGATGCAGACGAAACTTTTCAGTTTCGATATAAATTATCCTCACGTTTCGTCAATTTTTGCAAGCTAGCCGAGAAAAAATCACTGTTTGTCTCGCACTTTTTTCCCCGATATAGGGTGAAAAAGACCTAAAAATAGGTTCGGCTTCAAGATTACTTGACTTGTTTAGTAATTCTTCTCCAACTTTTTTCTCCATGTAGGCAACATAAATTGGTTGGAAAGAGTTGTTCTAAAATTCAAATTGTTTGACATCCAACAGAATTTACTAGTGAATTCTCTAGGTTGTTCTACAAAATTTTTTCGTGCAGGAACTTTTAGCTGTGACTAAGTCCAGGGACTTTAAAATTGCACCGCGGTCTCCACTCACTTTCGAAAGTTTTCATTAAATTGAGGATCTTACAAAAAATTGTCAGTGCAATGTGAAGCGGTTAGAATCCATTTTTCTGAGATTAAACTGCCGCCACAACGATGTATAAATTTCAAGTGCTTCTCGAACCATCCCAGCGCTACCATATGTGGGAATTCTTTTCCTTCAATTTCCGGTCCACCAGAAATTCTGGGATCAATTGGCATCGAACACTGGGATTCCGGACTGAGATGCTCATCCGTTGAATCGAGGAGATTCTGTTGAGAGAGCTCATATTGATATTCCCTGCATTCTTTGCATAAAAAGATGAAAAATATAGATAATGAATATACAAATAGGAAATTAGAGAAATAAGTACAATCGAGGTTTTATATAAGATACCTCGAACAGCGTTTTCTTGTAAGATACCTATGGCGTTGATCATTTTTCAATGGGAGACGAGTGATTATAAGGATCAAACGGAGTTAAGGCTCAAATGGAAGGAACAATCGAAGTGATCATAAGGGTCAAATGACTCACAAGGAACACCCGGGAGGTGTTCCCCTCCGATTTGGATCAAACTCATATATGTTGTAGAGGACTCAAAACTAAAGGACACGTATTTTTTTTTTATCGGCTAATACGCGGCTTTAGGGGGGGGGGGAACCATGGTCAGAAGGTGACCACCTTCGGGGGTGATCTTTCAATCCCACCTATAAGGAGGGTGTTTTTACAAATGTTCATCACGGTAATGAGTAGCTTGTGAGGAATTATGAAAATCATAATTGATAGTTCATGCGAGGGTTGAAATTTGGGGGGTAAACTACCCCTATAAAAATTTCGTTAAAAAAAACTATGTCTAAAAATTTTATAAAATCAATTGCGTTTGGAAGAACATGGAAAAATGCAGAATACGTGTTTTTGGATTTTCGCCAGAACTGAAATTTTCTGGAATACATAAAAAAATGATTTCTTGGGAATATCACCCATTACAGTAGTGAAGTTATTTATTCATTCCATCGAGGTAATAAATAGCTTGTGAGTGATCATGAAAATCACGATTAATAGTTCCTCTGCAGGTTGAAATTTGGGGGGTGAACTACCCCTTTGAAATCATTTTTTTTATTAAAAAAATACATGGCTCAGGATTTTATGGAAATTATTGCATCGGGAAGATCATGAAATAATACAGTATACCTTTTTTCGCATTTATCTCGGCATCGAAGTTATGAAGTAAGAACATTGATTTCTTTTATAAGTCACTGATTCCAAATATTTGAATTTTCAATTTTGATTCTAATAGTCCGCACGTGAAGATTATATTCCTTCAGAATCCGGCATTATGATGACAACAATAACAGATTAAAGAAACAATGATCCACTGGGATAGAATTTTCTTCTACTTCAGGGGCAGCAATGTTGTGGTTATTCCAAGGAAAAGCAACCACAAATACCAAAAAAACTTACCGAATAATCGGGATTTTTCCATATAGTATTATTTATCTTATAATTTTTGTGTCTGGGAAAGCTGGGTAATGGTTCCATGAGGTGATTCATCATTATACTATATGTGGTGTTAACACACTGCTGAAAGCGATAATAAATCCAAACAAAGTAACAATATTCATGCGAACGTCACCTATACCCAAAAATAGCGTATCAGTTCAGTAATCATGCATTATTGATAACCCCGAATATTTCTGCAATTTTGTTCTCATCCGTTTCGCACAGTGTTCAGTCTACATAAACATATCACGGGAAAACATTTTCTTTTTCTAATTGTGAATCTCCAATTGTTTTCACCATGAAATTCAATCGTATAAACGTTATTAAGCTCCTCATGGCAACATTTGAAGTAATGAATCTTGTGGAAACTCCTGTAACTAATANAATCCTATAAACATTATTAAGCTCCCCATGGCAACATTTGAAGTGATGAATCTTGTGGAAACTCCTGTACCTAATGAAGAATGAGAATTGGCAACTAATTTCGAGAACATATTGAAAGAAACTATGGAGGAATATAATGATGTGGAAATAATTGAAGAATCCACTCTCGATTTCCAAGAGCCGTATAAAGATATCGAAATAATACCAATTGAGGATACAGAATTCCAACCGCGTCTTAAAGAATCACCTGATAGTTGTTCGGATGATGACGAACCTATAGGCTATGAATATAAAAAAAAGCAGTTGAATTCTGGAGGAGTGCGAAAACGAAGAAAAATCTGTTTATAAAAACCGTTTCCAATAGATTCAAAAAAGTGAAATCCGTCCAACAATTACGTCGCTTGGCGCATGAAGTCAATAAAGGAGGAACTTATATGGAGTAGTTAAAGCGTATATCAGAGTATACATTGAAAAATATGAAGAATGCTATTGATGCGGGGTTAATTGTTCATGATGCAGACCTACGAAGGTGGGCTCTGCAAGCCTCGATAAATATTGGAAATGAGGATAATCGTTTTAAGGCCTCCCCGTGGTGGCTGCATTACTTCAAAAGAGCTCATCGTATTACATCTCGCAAGATTACTAAATTCGTGACGCAAAACAATGGAAAATCAAGAAGATTTACAAAAAACTGCGGATGAATTCGTGCAAAAAATCAAACCATATTTTGAAATGTATGGCTCGCAAAACATCTATAATTCTGATCAAAGTGGTTTCTAATTGGAAACGCATTCGGGACGAACTTTGGCGGACGAGGCGTCTACAGAAGTCTCGTGCATTGTACAATCTATAACGGCAACGACACACAGTTGTACGATCCAACCCACGATATCTGCTGATGGAAAATTATTGTCACCTCTTTTCATTGTTTACAAGGAACCCTCCGGAACTTTTGGCCCAAGGGTCCAGAAGAATCTATTCAGACCTTCAAATGTTTATGTAACAGTTTCAAAATCGGGAAAACTGACTTTTGGTATGATGATATTTTTAATGTATAATAAGATGTGATAAGTTATTTACACTGATTGCAATGTTCATCGTATTCCAAACATTCCAGAGCACTTCAAAATTTGGTTGGAAGAAGTATTCTTTCCACACGTGGGACCAAAAAGTACTGTTGATCGATTCATGGAGTGGACATTGCTCTCGAGTGATAAAAGAGGCAACTCCTTGGAATAAAGAATTATTAACTATGATGATTCCGAAAGGGACGACCGGGAAAATTAAACCTCTTGATGTATGCGGTTTCAGAAATTTGAAAAATTATATCCGTCATTTTTCAGATACGGTCGTTCTCTTGAATCATGACATCAATTTACATGCACGAAATAACGTAATAAAATTGCAATCTCTAGTTCATAATCAATTATCGTCACCAAGGTATCTAAATCTATTTCGTTATGCTTGGTTCCAAAGTCGTTATATTGCTAAAAAATCAGAGGAATTTGATAATCTTGTTGATTTTGCATTTGGACAATCTTCCAATCTACAATGTGACGTTGATGGTTGTTCTAATGTTGCAGTAGTTAGATGCTCGTGGTGCAGAAAGTCTCTCTGCCTGCACCATTTTTTTTATGAATATCATTTCTATACCGATTGTAATCCATAATAAAATATATATATGGACAACCACAGGAAAATGCCAAAGAAGTAAAGGCTCGATTGAGACGGATGGAATGAGTTTCTACAATAAATACTAAATCATTTGGACAACTCACAGTTCTCTCAGAAATTATTTCTTCTACCTCAGAAAATTTGAGTTCCGGGGAAAATAAAAAAAAGGTATTCCGCATTTTTCCATGTTCTTCCCAATGCAATCATTTTCATGAAATCCTGACCTATAATTAAAAAAAAAATATTTTCACAGGGGTAGTTCCCCCCCCCCTTCAAATTTCAACCCCCAGAGGAACTATCACTCGTGATTTTCATAATCGCTCATAAGCTATTTTCTCCTTCGATGGAATGAGTAAATAACTCCACCACTGTGATGGGTGATATTTTCTAGAAATCTTTTTTTTTATCCCACAAAATTTTAGTTCTGGCGAAAATCCAAAAAAACGTATTCTGCATTTTCCCATGTTCTTTCAGACGCAAATGGTTTTATAAAATTCTGAGCCATAGTTTTTTTTTGAAAAATGAAATTTTTATAGGGGTAGTTTACCCTTCAAATTTTAACCCCCGGATGAACTATCAATTATGATTTTCATAATTTCTTACCAGCTATATATTACCTTGATGAAATGGATAAAAAATTTCACCACTGTGATGAGTCATATTGCCGAGAAATAATTTTTTTCACCCCAAAAAACTTCAGTTCCGGGGAAAATCCAAAAACAGGTGTTCTGCATTTTTCCATGCTCTTGCAAATGCAATTGTTTTTATCAAATTATGAGCCATATATAATTATATATATATATTTTTTTTTTAACAAAATTTTTACGGGGTAGTTTACCCCCCCCCCCAATTTCAACTCCCAGAGGAACTATCAATTTTGATTTTTATAACTTCTCACAAGGTATTCATTACCGTGATGAACATTTGTAAAAACACCCTCCTTATAGATGGGATTGAAACATCACCCCCGAAGGTGGTCACCTTCTAACCATGGTTTCTCCCCCTAAAGCCGCGTATTAGCCGATAAAAAAAATACGTGTCCTTTAGTTTTGAATCCTCTACAACATATGAGTTTGATCAAAATCGGAGGGGAACACTCCCTAGTGGTCCTTGTCAGTTCGGTAGTACAAACGGTTGCCAAGATCGGCGATTGTCGAAAATTTGTTAATAACAAATCAGTCATTCATTGAATCGAAATTTCGTTTACGCCATTCGATAAAAGAGTATGTGGAGTATGTTTAGTAAAAATTACAGGATTTTTCATGAAAATTAGCTCGATAAACAAGAGGTTTGAATATGCATTTAACATCGAATTCAGTTCCGTATGCTTCATGTATTGAAAAAAAAATATTAACAATAACTTGAAAAAAAATCGTGTCGCCTTGTGCTAATAATTTTATCTATTTCATTGAGATATTTTTAGAATTTCGATATCTACAATAGTACGAAAGAGAATGAATTTTGATTAATCACGGAAAGAGTCTAGGACAAGCTCTCGGATCTATGAGTGCGTTTCGGAATCAACTATCGTAGCTGCAGTCAAGCAAAATTGGATAGGGTTGCAGTACTGTTACTGCGACTATCTCGATTGCGAAACGCACCCTTACCATGGACGTCATACTTGAGGGGATTACTACTATGAGTTTTAAAAGTCGCGGGCGATTCGAGTGAGATTTCTCATACATTGAAGATCGATTATATAGGAGAGAGTGGGGCAAAATGAAACAGTCGAAAATACGGGTGTTTGACCGAATTCAAGTAAACAAAATTTTTTATCAATTTTTTTTTGAATTTTAATTTATTAACTTTTTTTATTATTGGAAGTACTGATTAGAATAATAATTTTCTATTCAGTAGAATAAAAAATAGAATATTAGAAAAGTAGAATAAAAAATTATTATTCTCATCAGTACTCTCAATAATAAAAAAAGTTAATAAACAGAAGTTGATAACAAATTATTTTTTTACTCGAATTGCGTCAAATAGTCGTTTCCCGGCTGTTTCATTTTGCCCCTCACTCCCCTACACTAATAGAAAAGGTGGAACGATTCAGTTGCACCAAACGAGGCTTCTTAACTGCTACCGCGATTCGTTAATAGTTCACGAATCGTGGTAATAGTTAAAAAGTCTTGTTCGGTTCGATTAAACCGGTCTATCAGTGTAGGTCTAAAAACTAATAATTAGTGCAAAAAAATTAATTGTTTATTGTTTGTTTGCCCCGCACACGCTTAAAATGTTAAAAATGGTCCAGGGCCTCCAATTGTTGAGCTACAGAAGTTTCTTTTTTGGAAAATTTTTGCAAAAATTTGTGCAATAATAATTACGAATTCGTTTTTGAAATTCGACTCCTACATAGCTAATTTCGTTTTGTTTAAAATAAAAATGTGTGCCATTCAGGTAAAATAGCAAGAAAAATTATCCTTAAAATGTTAAAAATATATTCTCGATTCTTTCAGAAACATTTTTCGGGGTATTTTACGTGAACGGTGCAATTTTTTATTTAAAAAAAAACAAAATTAGCTATGTAGGAATTGAATTTCAAAAAAATAATTCGTGATTGTTTTTGTACACATTTTTTCAAAAATTTTGGAAAAGAAATGTCTCTAGCTCAAAAATTGGAGGCCCTGTACTATTTTTAACATTTTAAGCGTCTGCGGGGCAAACGAACAATAAACAATTAATTTTTTTGCACTAATTATTCGTTCTTAGACATATATAGGGTGCGTTTCACAATCGAGGTAGTCGCAGTAACAGTACTGCAACCCTATCCAATTTTGCTTGGCTGCAGCTACGGTAGTTCATTCCCACGCCCATTAGCCCACGCCTTTTAAAACTCATAGTAGTCTCCCCTTAACATATTTGTGTTCAGGGACCACAAAAACATAAAGTCCAGTGATAAAATTCAATGGACCTAAAAGTGTGTACGGAACCTGTTACAGCGTATGGACTAAACCCTAGATATTCCAACAATGACATGATTTCAAAAGGCAAACATTCGTCAATAATTTCTCCGCGAAACTCAGCGCCGAAGGCGGGAAAAAAATTGAATGAAAAAAAAGGACTATCCAAAACTTACTTCTTTCGCATATTCTCTCAATTTCGGAGGGAGACTCTGATTTTTGCGGATCCCGTCTTAACCCGTAGTTCACCTCATCAGAATTGTTCCTTCGCTGTATAAATCGCGATGTTTGTAAAATATCCATTTCATTTACCACTAATTTTCCTGAAGAATCTTTAGGATAGCACTCTGCAATATTTGTAAACACAAGTGCAATCGCTAGCCAGATGCTACATTGCAACATATTGAATAAATTCAGTATCAAAATTTAATAATTCTTCTTGGATTGTTCTGGCACTGAAAAAATGTCTTGCGGTCGGTAATTTGATAATTGAGTGATTCCGGATCGAAATGTTAACCCTCTGACTCGCAAATCGTATGAAACCGTATCGGTGTGATGCCCGCCAATTACAGCGCGCCGTGCGATGTGTTAGTGAGAAATGGTCACGTGACTATTCCCTCACTCCTGTCGCGTCAGGACCGTTGTAACCATTGCAACTCTATTGGGGCTCTTCTACATATTCTCGTGTAATACGTAAGGTAAATGTCCCGGTACCTGACTCAGTCCCAATACACGGAGAGAAAAATACACCATAATTCCGTGAGAGTCCCTCCAAAAATTAGTGTGCTACTCACTAATGCTGGGACATAACAGGGGGTCACCAGAAAATTCGTATGTGGCACCCTAAGTTTTACGGGCATCGCGCGAAGTAGTGGCGCAAGTCCCTCTAAAAATTGGGGTGCCACATTCGAATTTTTCGATGACCCCCTGTTATGTCCCAGCATTGATGAGTAGCACACTAATTTTTGAAACATTTTTTTCTCAGTGTAGCTGAATCGCCGAGTATCCGATTACCAATTTCTTTCGATAAGTAATTATTTCTTCTCAAAAATGATAATATTTAATTTTTTAAAGAAGCGTAGGGTTTCNGTAAATGTCCCGGTACCTGACTCAGTCCCAATAGCTGAATCGCCGAGTATCCGATTGCCAATTTCTTTCGATAAGTAATTATTTCTTCTCAAAAATGATAATATTTAATTTTTTAAAGAAGCGTAGGGTTTCAATGATTCTAACGAAATAAATTCCATGCGGTTGGTATTCCCAAAAAAATTTGGATTCAACAATTAAAGTTGATACTCGGTTGAATTGCTGCCTTCGGTCCGATTCCTAGTGTCAACTGCTAAGAGGTGACTCATCAAATGATAGCGATTCATTCAGTCATGCGAGTATTGAAAAATTAATTAAATAATTCATCAAGCAGGGACTGACTTAAACTTTTGTAAAAGTGGTAAAAATTTCGAGAATAACAATTTTTTATACCAATAAATAGCTATTCAGGTATTGGGCCATCAGGCCTAACCTATGTCCGAGTAGCTGAATTCGTTATTTTACTATTAAGTTTCGTATTGTTACACGTATGAGATATTGTCATAAGTGAAACTATCGAAAATACTTCAGTGCACGTGAATAAAATAATCAGAATTTTTTTTTTCTTCAAACTAAATTTTTCCTCTAAAGAGAAATTTTAGAGTCTGCACACCTACCGACTGGAATCTGAAGAGTGTTATTTTATTGAGAAAACTTACTGAATGTTTCTTCTATTTGCATAATGTCATGATGATGATCCATATGTCATAATATTCGTGCCAATCTATTATTTAATGAACGATATTTATTATTAAGTGTAGATTTCCGTGGCAACAACTTGTGATTCAACTACTGGCCCATGGGGATTCAGGTATTGGGACATGGACCTTTTTTGGATTCAACTACTAGGACATAGCTCTTACATAATAAATTGGTTTAATTTGATGTTTGTTTAATATTTTTATAGCTAAAAATAATTGTTTTCGGTCAAATAAAGTTCGATAATCCTCTAGAATAATTCCTCTATGACCAATACAACCGAATTTATTTTTATGCACGTTCTTTCATCGACTCTTCCTTAAAGATTTAGCTACCGAGACATTCACCTTAATAGAATTCAGTAGTGAAGTGGCAAACGGAGATAAGTCGACTTATCTCCCAGTTGAGTTTTTGAGAAATATTTCCGAATCTAAGGGAGACAGCGAAATTTTCGCAATTACATTTGTTGTAGCATTCAAAAAAGGTTATAACAAAAATTTTGCTATCTTCCTTAGATTCCGAGATATTGATTGAAAACTGATCAATAGTCAAAATTGACTTATCTCCTTTTACCACTTCGTTACTGAATTGCTCTCCTGATTTGGAGATTGACGGCAATGGGATGTTTTATTTCAAATTGCTTCTTTTCTTCTGGAAAATGTGTTTCATCCTATTACCAATGAATTCCTTTTAAGAATTTTTATGTTTGGGATTTATATTCAAACGTGCACTTAGTGCTACGGCACTATTCGCGCGCTCACTATCATCCCCTTCCACGTCGAACACTCCGCCCCCATAGGTAGTGGGGATAAGATTGCGAGTCAGAGGGTTGACCTCTTCCAGAGTCGCATTCAAAAATTTTTAACTGAAAAAACCTAATGAAAATCCTTTGAACGATATATTTATCTTCAATTTGAATTCAGAATCCTTCTCAATACTACTTAAAAGGGGGAAATTTAATGAATAAGTTTTATGAAAGGAATAAGCGCTTATGAATGCTAGAACAAGTGTATGAATGTGTTTACACAAAGTATCAGCTGTTTACTTCTCCTCTCCCCCTGCCCCCCCGCCCCATTCGCGCCGTCGCTGCACACCACAAGTGCCACTCGTGCAGCTCTCAGTGTATATTATTGAAAAAATATTCTCTTGATAAAAACACAGCAATTGTTGTAATATTTCGGTGAAAATCATTGTTTGTCTAATCAATTGCCGCAATCATGTCGAATCACTCTCTCATAATAAAATCCGGCTTCCTACGAGCCCCACTAGCCAACGGAGTGGGTCGTTACATCGGACAATTACAACGAATAACTCTGAAATTCTGCAAAAATCATGGGGCCAGTCGCGGTATGAGGTGAGTAATCATATAAATTGTGAACAAACACTCCTTGACACTTATCTCATTCGTTAGAAACAATTGTACTCCAGTGAACGTCCTTCTTAACCTCAATTCCATTTTTTATGGGTATTATCTTGTAGAGATTTCCTGGAGAATGATCTCCTCGATTTTGCAAAGGAAAATCCTGGTGTTGTGGTGTATGTCAAGCCGAGGAGACATCGAGGTCCAGTAATTGTTGGAGAATATCGTGAGTGAAAACAAGTGGATAATGGCACTTTTTATAAATAAGTGATGTACATAGTTCAACTTCTGGACGGGGGTTAGTTTGAATATTCCATAAATAATGAAATGAAAATTGTACTGGTTATTTCACCTTTCAATAATATTACTCATGTGATCAATTATTTTGTCTGTTGATCAACATTTAATAAACAAAAAAAAATATGGCCTAGTCGTCCAGAAATTTGGGGTTTTGGCCGCATTCAACTATTTCTTAATTTTATTATTCTTTGTTTTGTTATTTTCACTTTAAATAATTTTTTTCTGCTAATTAAAACATTCTTGAAGGCATGGAAGCCGTCATATCCCCATTTAGGTGATTCTTTTATTTTAGATCCTTCCACGAAACTCGCATTTCCCTTAACCGTCCAGTAATTGGTCTGTTTACCCTATAACTATTGCTGCTCTTCTTCTATTTCAATGTCATTGTACTGTCAACAATTGAAATGCCATAATAGTACATTAGAGTACGAGGACATAAATTTCGTTTTTGATGAATGTGAAGTTTACAGGCCGAGCCGAAGGCTAGGTGTGTACTCCATTTGTTACTAACGAAATTGACAACAAAGAACTTAAACGCATTGGTTCTAAAATTTGGTAAAAAGTATCCATGCGCTTACACGCTTACGTCTATTTTTGAATGGATAAATAGACGAAACAAAACAAAATTCAACCCAATTTTTATGAAAACCAAAATTCTAGTGAAAGTCTCAATTTTGACTCTCAGGACTCTATAAATAAACTAACTTATTCCGAGTTTCTAAATTGTTATTTTGAAAACGAACAATATTTCTGACTAGACATTCGTGTTTCACATGAGGAATCGCACTCAAATGATCATGAAAAATGGAAATTGTCTAGTATCCTGCACGAAGAATATCAAATCAAAGTATTTTCCCCTCTGCGCGCAAATGAATTGGGGATACGTAATTCTCGGAATTTTATTCCCCTACAGATTCCCTGTGGTATCTTGTACGAAGATTGGACTGTACATTTTAAACCATACACCGTAGCGTAATAACTTATAGTCTAAAGCCAATTGGGGACTCTAAACTATGAAATAGAAAAAATACCATTGAAATCCATTCAATCGCTTTTGCGTGAATCGCGGCCAAAGAATGGGCAACAGATTTATTATATTTGAGAAGAAAATTTAGTCAGAGTTTAACCCAAGTTCTGTCAGAAGTTAGTCGGGGCTGTGAATCAATGTGAATAAGTATTCAACATAATATACTAGTACCTGAGCTTCAGGATATTTAGCCATTTTCAGCAAATCTCATTTTTTCATGTTCAAGGAAAATTCTATAATTTTTTTGGCTGATAGCAGAATATATGAAACTAACTTCTTTGATGTTAAAAAAAAGATTAATCGCAATAGTCTCGCTAGAAATAAATAAACAAATTTTTCCTTATACACGGACTCTTATAGGTTTTATGTTGAAATTTATAATTCACATACTATAAAACTCTAAAAATAGAAATAAAAATAGAAGGTAATGTGCAAAACTATGCTGAATCGAATGGCCAGAAAACAATTTCGGATACCCGCGCAAAAAGAGGAAATATTTGAATGATTCTATCCCATAGAAGCGCATGTTAGCGCATGCATTTGGTGTATTTTGTCTATTTCATTTCTAAATAATGAACATGGGTTGGTGGATTGAAATTTGTATCAAAGTGAAGGGAATATCTTCATCTCTCAGTTGAAAAAAAGACAATTTTTTTTTCAAGTACTTGCGATTTTGGATAAACATCCTTAACAGAGACAGAGGGTTCGATATAAACAAGTGGGTAATACAAGCTAGCGAATGTTATAAACTGTTTCTATGAAAAATATGGGGACAATCGTAAGAAAAACTTGTTTTCTAGGGATATACTTTAAGTATACCTCACATATACCTCAAGCATACTTCGTCTTACCCCTGCATTACCCAATCGCTTTCGGTTCAGTCAATGTTTGCATTGTTTTTTAGTTAATGGAGAGAGACACTGGGTGAGCGTGGCGAACTTCCCAAAGGAAGACATTATCAAGTGGATTGAACTCCTGAGAACACAATCGAAAGATGGATCACTAATGAGGTTACGAAAGATGTTCCACACAGAGTTCCCATCGATTCAGGGACCGTGGACCCCCTTCACCTTCAGAAACCCAATGTGGAACATTACGAAATTCCCCGATGTAAGTTTTGATAAGTTCACGTATAAGCTAATTTTTGTTCTATTATTTCTTTGTCCTTCTATGATTCTGAACAAATATCAAATATTATTTTATTGGAATTCTATTATATATGTTAATTGTAAATTGGCTTTTGCCTCCTTGTATCAATGTGTAATGCGAAATTGAATTGAAATGGGACAACCGATTTTCGAACAAATTCACAACTAACGAAAAAATTCTACAAATTCTATTACATTTTTATGAAATTATTATCACATCATCATTTTTTCAATTAAAAGAAATGAATAAAGTGCCGGAAGAGTGTCCTTATCGAGAAAATACCCACGAATTTGATTTTTATCAATGATGAAATGGATTGAAAGAATATAAAAGGATGCAAATGGAAGATGAAAAATTTTATGCTATTATTATATAGAATATCTTATTGGTCTCTTTTTTATTACAGAGATTTTGAACTGAATATCGAACAAATTCCGTGAATAATACGAATTGTTCTTATTGATCTCTTCTTCATTATAGCGAAGAGAGAAGAAAATCCCCTTTTTATTCTTTCGTAAATATTCATGATCGAGTTTTACAAACAGTCCACTGAAACCATATATTCGAGGGATTGTCTATGCAAGATTTTCAACTGACTTTCTTTCATTTCTTTCAGAGTATCATTGGAAACGTAGTAGTCGAGGAGCAGACCGCAACAGAAAAATTATTGCAAATCTTTAAAGCCCAGCAGGAATCCAAAAAATTGACCCAAATTGAGGCAAAACAATCATCCTCCTAAAATTAATCACATAGTGTACATAGGATCATAAATAAAGCGTGCATTACTTCAAATGTATAATACAAACGTTTATTTCAACATTATCTTCCCCATTAGAAAACAAATTAGCAAGATATAGGTAATTACCAAATTTTATCGACTCACACATCCAAACACACAATTTCCTCACAAATTAAATCCGCATGAGTAAAATTCCATGTAATGATGAAAACGTTTCTGATAAAAATTAACAGAGGATATGAGAATTTTAGGCAGAAACGTTTTTTATAATTTTTTAAAATTAATTTAGCAAGGGTCGTTTGCAATAGAGTCATTTGCAATAATTTGTTAAGTATCAAGTACAATGCCAACAGATGACAAACTTAATAAGTCAAATTAGTACTAGATAATAAACGAAATTATCAATGACTAGTTAAACAATTTGCGTTTAACGCAATGATGAATCATTATTTCCATGCGTTTTTATTAAAAATATTAATTAACTAATGAATCGCTATGTTTATTTGTCAAGTTGAAAATTACAAAAATATTAGACAATTACTTGAAACATGTAAAATATTAATCTTATTACAAAAATACTTCCATTAACAAATACTTGACAAATAAACATTGTTTATCGAGCATTATCACTTTCATGAATCTCTTTGATTAATTTTATTTCACAATCGTTCAGGCAAAATAGACTCTTGTATTGTTGGTAGTCCATCAGAATGCATTGAATTAAAATTGAATTGATAGTACGGAAATAAGAAATTAATGATAAAATGAAATGAAGTGATGAAGCTCGTTTACTCTATGAAGAACAAGTGTTCGTTCTTCAATTTTTGTGATTCTTGGGTCACGTTTCACATTTGAATCTATTAATTATTTCGCTATTTCAATAACCACAAATTCCATTTGTGGTTCTACTCTTCTGTGATGCATCAGACCAGATTCATTTTCGGATTGAAATTCCAATGTTTTATGCAACTGTAATTATGCGTTTATAATTATGATGATGATGGTCACAATGAGTGAATAGTGAAAGAAAATATTTCAATTTGGTGATGTTTTTCAATATTGATTCACAGGCATATGACAAGAAAGTCTGAAGCACACCTCTCACGATGATGCATTCACTAGTGAAGTAGAAAAACGTAACAAGTCAGTAGCGAAACGCTAAAACGGTTCAAGTCAACTTAGCCCTTAGCTGAGTTTTGGAGAAATATCTCCAAATCTAAGGGAGATAATGAAATTTTGGTAATAAAAATTGAAAAAATTTTTTTTTCAATTTTGAATTTTGAAAGAAATTTTGCTATTTTCCTTAGATTTCGAGATATTCATTGAAAACTAACCAATAGTCAAAAACGACTTGAACCGTTTTACCGTTTCGCTACTGAAGTCATTACGTTTTACCACTTTACTATCGAATTTTGTTCCTTTTTATTACAACTCTCTTAAATCCTAAAAAAATCTCAACTTATTTCATCACACACCCTTGAAGGCTCACCACACCTAGCCAATAATTAGTATTTCAAGGGATTTTCGAAAAGATTTCGTTTCTTTCATCATTGGCAATATAAAAGTAGCAAAATATACATAGATAATTTTTGGTTCTACGGTAACGAAAAGTAGGGATAAAATGAGTTGAACCTTCAAATTATCAATACAACCACACCCATGTTGCTACTTACTCTATTCATGAAAATTCTCTAGAAGATAAATTAGTCATAATTCAATGACGGATTTACATACGCAATCACCAACGATTGCATGCAATTAATCATTGTCGGGAAAATTATTTATCATTATGAGCCAATAAATAAGTGATGCGAATGGGCCATTAAAAACAAAAATATGCAAATGACAATGTTCAGGTCTCGTTTACCACGTATATATCAGTTTGTTGTTTTTTTACTCTAGTTAGCCCCGATGAATCACTCACAAATTGACTCGATTTACGTGAGCCTTGCGCACAGTTTACCCAATATTTTTGGATCATTTGGTTAGCGTAAAAGTTCGTGACTAGAGGCAGTGAATGTCATCTATTCCACCTTGAGTCGTTTACTGAATTCCTCCTGTTGTTTTTCTCTCCATTCCTTCTTCGGTTTCATCCTTTTCAATTGGCCGTCCCTGCGAAGTATGTAAAATGAGACTGTATTTTTTCTAAATCTTAGATCGCAAAATATCGAATGGAATAACAGTAATGAAAACACATTTTGTCGGTGCATTATGTTCAGGTAAAAATAAAGAAAATGCTCTTCTTGAGAAGCGGATTTATTCCTCGAAACGTTGACAAAGAGAATGCATGTCGTTTGTGAAATTTCAATTCAAGGGAAGAGCGCGGTGAAATTATTAAGTCCCCGTTACAGCTGGCAACTTATTCAGCGAATTTAATATAGGATGGGATGTGCTCAAAAATCGGAAAAATGACGAGCGCAATGGATTTTGTCTTGTGAATCAACGAACAAGTAAATAATGACATTTTTAAAAATAAATAAGTATAGCAATTGTTGGTAACAAATTAGCAAATTAGCAATTTAGAAATTTCGATATAAAAAGCTCATGACGATATTGCGTAAGAAGGCATTGAAATATACTTTTCAAGCCTGATTTGATTGCTATTACTGATGATTCTTTGAGTAATGATAAAAAACCGATTTTCTCTTGCAAATCGCATCAACATTGTGCTCCAACTCAACAACTAATTGTGCGACGCCCACCATATTCTGATAGAATCAAGAGGGTATTATTATTAATTTTTTGAGTGATCGTTGAAAAATCAATTTTTTGGAAAAATATCAATCCTTTTCATTCTGTAGGCTAAACAGGTCGATTTCTGGACGATTTCAACTTGCATTAAATATTCCATAAATAAAATGAAAATTGTACTGATTATTTCACATTTCAATAATATTACTTGTGTATAATCAAGTGAACAATTATTTTTTCTATTGATCGATATTTAATAAATAATAAAAAAAATATGGCCCAATCGTCCGAAAATTAGGGGTTTTGGTTGCATCAACTATTTCTTAATTTAATTATTGTTTGTTTTATTTTCACTCCAAATAATTTTTTTCGGCTAATTAAAATATTCTTGAAGGTATGGAAGCCATCATATCCCCATTTAGACGATTCTTTTATTTTAGATCCTACCACGAAACTCGAATTATCCTTAACCGTCCAGCAATTGGCCTGTTTACTCTATGAAAAATTAAATTTCAATTGGTGTCAATGAATAGAGTTTATCAAAGTCTATATATTCATGAAAAAAATCATAAAATTCGATTGATCCCTTATAAAAAAAATTCGAAAAAAATGAAAAAGGACCCCATACATACATACAGACACCATCTAAAAGTCGCATGTTAGAACTTTTTGGCCATATTTAGCTACCCTAACACAAAAAATTGGAAACTTAAATTTCAGCGATTGCAAAGCTTCCATTCGGAAGCAAAACCATCCAAGTATCGTTGATCAATTTTTGTTTTCAAAATGTTTGCTAGTTTTCCAAGAACAAAGGTAAGCATTCATTTTACGGACAATGGAAAAATTGAAAAACAATGAAAAATTCATAAACTAATGCAAACACGACAACAAATTCTTAAAAATACTAACCATTGGAGATCAACCAGGCCACCTTGCCTCGCAATAACAGACTTGACACGATTGGCGAAGTCAATGGCACTTTCACCATCCCCTCTGTACATTGGTGGAAGATACCATACGTCGCAGACAATCGCCCAACTCGACATCATCATGTAGAGGTATTGGAGCATTGAATATCTACTGCTATTCCAGAAGGCATCGCCAAATCTCGGATCGTACTGGAAACGAAATGTAACAAATCAAATGTACTTTATGAAATAACTCTGTTTTTAAGTGGTTGGTCTGCCTTAAGAGGCCAATTGGCATTACAATTAGAGACTTCATTTAGAAATATTCAATACAAAAAAAAAAAGACAGAATCATGATTTTCATATTTAGAAGTTATAAACAACAATTCCTCCACTTTATTATTAAAACGGGGGTACGGATCGCTACTCAATTAATTTTTTGAAACGAAAAAAAAAGTATACACTATTAAAAATTTTCCACTGAATTTCTAAGGAATAACATGCCTACTGAAATTCCAAGAAATTTTGTCATTAAAAATTGATAGTTTCATGGAGGAATTTGTCAGGAAAATTCACAGAGAAACGTCGCCTTAAATTCCGGATTCCACAGAATTTTCAGGGATTCCTCGAGAAGTTCTTGGAACTCCGAGAATTTTAAAGGACTTCCCTGAAAATTCAAGAGAATTTGCCAGTGAAATAGATTTTCACTTGAAAATCCATGTCAATTGTGAAATTTTCGTCTTTCTGCCCCTAAAAAATTGGGACTTCACGTTAATTTTAAGAAAAACTTCAAATTCCATTGACTCTTTCCCCTTAAATCGAGTTCAAGGTATTTTTCCGGAAAATTCAGCCAAATTTTTTTTTACAGTGTATTCGTCTTTTACGAGTGCTCCTTTCCTAGGAGTGCCGAACCCTATATTTTATCACAATGTGTGGAAAGTGGGACTTTGCGTACGCGAAGCGCATAAGTGACGAAAAATTTTTTAAAAAAGTGATTTTATTACGCTAAGAAGATTCTATTACATTCTGTTGAAGATGGAAGTTATTGATTTTGTATTCAATATTAGTTTAAGCGAAAACTGTTGGAAATTGCTCGTTATAAAAAAAAAGTCTTGTGATATGTTTAGTCACTTAAAAAATCATCTCGCCATACCTTAATTGCTACTGGATAAATAACCCCACCAACTTCAAAGCTGCCCTTCTTGAATTGCATGACTGATGTATTATTGATGCAGGTACCTTCCGGGAATATCAAAATCGGAGGATTCGTTGGATCTGAGATATGCTGTTTCAATCTGAAAACGAGTAAAACTCTCATTACAAATAAATACAATCGAAAAATCCACCGAATCATGCAGCAGATGATGAAACCTTTTGGTGACAGCTTCCCTATCCTTCACCTCCGACCGCTCGAACCAAATGTGGGGAGAGGCACGTGCCAATGCCCGCTGCAAAATCCCTAAAAATCCCCCGTGTCTCTGTCCAATCTGTAAATTCGACGTTTAAATATTTTCAATCTTTTCGATAATTTGTATTCTCTTCCTTTAAATAGATCTACATGCAGTGTTAACGGGAAACCACAACCGCATGCAATGGGAGTGACAATTTCGAGTAATTTGACACAGAAATGATGGTGCTCGGTAATTACTTCCACAAAAAGTATTCAAACTAATTAGTTCCATGAAAGAGTGGAGGAAAATTGATACTTTTGACATTTTCAAGAATTCGCAAAACTAGGAAACAACAGAGGAAAAAATGTTAATTTTAAAGTGCCATTTTGCCATAATGAAGCAGAGAATTCTTGGTATTCATTTGGGTCCTCGAAAAGGTGGAAAACGAGCAAACTCTAAAGGATTCGAAGGTCCTTTCCCCATTTGCTTCCGAATGGAAGCTTTGTAATCTCTCAAATTTAAGTTTCCAATTTTTTGTGTTAAGGTAATTAAATATGACTTGAAAAGCTGAAATACGCAATTTTTAAAGTGTGTCTGTATATAGGAATGTATGAAGGGGAGAATGAAACAGTCGAAAGATGACAATTTTTTTTTCATCAACTTTTGTTTATTAACTTTTTTTTATTATTGGGAGTACTGATAAGAATAATAATTTTCCATTTCGTAGAATGGAAAATTATTGAGAAAATGAAACAGGAAAATCCAAAGGCCAGAGGAAGACCCAAGGGGAGACCCAGAGGCAGGGATGGCCATCAATATTAATTTCTTCAATATTAAAAGGATTTTCCGACTTACATAAATCAAGGTTTAAATATGCTAATAGAAATTTGAAAATCGAAAAATAATTAATAACTTAAATTTCCAGTTGATGAATTGAATATTTACAAATATGTGGACATCCGCATGAAAAGGGACGACTTTGTCGATATGGTGTTATGTATACTCTGATAATATTGATAACATTCCGAATATTTTAATCCAAAAATGATCTTCATAGGGTCAAAAACGACGTCGTTGGAGAAGATAGAAAAAACAATTTAACATTGGTGCAAATGGGAGTTGCTGAAACAAAAACGTGAATATCTCGGAAACTAGAATCGACAAAGTGGTCCCTTTTTATGTGGACATCCACATATGGAGCTATAAATTTTCTATTAAGTAGATAATACTCAATTTCTTGTAGGGGATTTCCGATTATCCAAATAATCGTCAATCTTCATACCTCGATTACTGATTGATGAATAATTCAAAATTTGACTATTTAAATTGATGATTATTTCAATAATTAAAATTTAAAAGTGATATTAACTAATTGACAACTTAATAATTTAACAGTAATTATAATTAATGGACATGGCTAGCCCTGCCCAGAGAGGGAAAAAGGAAAATGTTATGCTGAATTTCAATGGAATGAAAAAAGAAAAGTGTAATCGCCATAATTTAATCAACTGAATTATAAATGAACTATTTCATATTACTTGAAAAGGTAACTGGGGATACAATTAGTGAAAATTACTAATATTGTCTCGATATAAGAAATATATGAAAAACCTTCGGGGTTTTGGAATAAGGTTATTTTTTAATTAATTATTATCAATAATCCCAGACTGCTGATTGAGTTAAAATTCAACCAGAATGTTTCCATTTATAAATTCCAAACTTTCGCCTGGAATTTATTTCAAATTTAAATCTTCAAAATTTGAGTTATATAAACTGTCAGAATGTTCAAGAGGGCGATATTAAATTCCATTCAAGGAAGAGAGAATTATGAAATTTTGAATGTCCCCGAAACATGAACATTCAATATCAAATAACCCTAAATTTCCAATGACAAATTTTTTTTTAATAAAAAAAATGACATTTTTTCATCACGAGAAATTTATTAATATAGTGCAATCTAGGAGAAGGATGTTGTTTGCACTAAATAAACAATGATCGCATTCCACTAATAAATTATCAACATTTTGAAAAAAGTAATTAGCTCCCATTCTACCCCACTCTCCCCTAATCGTAAATATGCCGGTAGACCTTCTCAGTGAAAAGGTAATTAAAATTCACGGGATTTTAACTAAGAAACAGATGATGAGCTTACTGTGCCATACTAACATAGAAGCCAAGGCAGGCATGCTGCATTAATGATAAAACCTCACAATAAAAGTTCATAACAATAAGCAAGGGTGCAAAATTGAACACTGTGATGAGATATGCTGCGAGACATACCAACGAGTAGCAATTATCACGCATGAGGACAAGTACGTCGATGGGTGATGTGTGATTAGCGACGCAAATGCCTCTGACTGGACGATTTTCAGGATTGTGGTACGTTATAACCGATGACAATGCGCTGGATAATACGGCAAAACACATGAGGGAGACATTGTAGTTTACCCATCGTTTGAAACTACTCTCTGGTATGTAACCAACTACTGCTGTGCAAATTGTCAGCCACATCACCTGTAAAACCAACATCCCTGCCAACTCAGCAACACATTTCACAGTTAAAGCCCGGTGAATTATCTTTCGAACGTGATCTTGGTTGTTTTTTTCATTTTGATAATCTGAAATTATCTCCAATTTTTATTAAGTTTTACATAGCCCTGGAGTCTCCACAAAATTATGATTCTACAAAACGTTGAAAAAAAGGTGAACATTTGCAAAGAGCGTTTTTGAAATAATATTGGAAAATAAAGGCAATAAGGAGGAAATTGCAAATTAATAATTTGATGTATCCATTGGCTGTTAGGTCGTTATTTGTCACAGTAGTCAATGGCTGTCAGATCGTTAGTTACCATGATAAATTACCCATTCGCTATTTCCTCTCTATCGGACTTATTTCTTAATCTTTATTAAAAACGTTTTTCGAAAATTTTCAGCTTTTTTCTACTTCTTTTGAATGTACAATTATAATTTTTAGGGATTCCTACGTGATGTAAAATCCAATGGAAATTATGATACATTTTACATCATGAAGGTGGAAAAACAATCGAGATAACGTTCGAAAGATGATCCACCCGGGCCTTAATCATCCAATTTTTTGTCATTTCCATAATCTTGGGCCTGTTGGAGAACTACTCAAGGCGGAATATGTCGCAAGAATAATTGACCAAAATAATAATGAAAAAATTATAGCATCAATAGTTCCTCCATTTCCTCTCCTTCATTACGTAACAAATGAATTGACAATTATGCATTAAGCAGGGATATGTGTCTAATTAAGGCACGTAATGTTGATTACTATCATATGTTACCAATGAAAAAGTTGTCTGCGTCGATAAGATGCACACATCGAGAACCGATGTGTGATTAGCTGCACAAAGACCACCTGGCTTTGGTTTGTACTCTGGATTGTGAATATTTATTATACTGGATAATGATCTAGCCATTATACGAAAGGAATTTTTATATGCAAAGTCATGAATCCGAGTTTTCAGGCGGCCATTTGGGAGAAAACCGATGAATGCTGTTGCTATTATGAGATAGTAAACCTGAGAGAGTTTTCATTAGTGGTAAGACGATTTAAAAAACTGTGATTAAACCATTGTAAAGTTGTGAAGTAGTAAAATCCAATGAGCCAACTTGATTTTAAGAGATGTTTTAACAACAGAGAAACAAAAATTGGTTTCCAGTAAAAACCTCTGAAAAGAGTTAGACTTTAAGAGTTGCTTTAAGGACGGAGAAACAAAAATTATCGGTAAAAAAATTTCTCTCAATTTTGTGTTCAAATCCAATACGATTGCTCTTAAGGGGAGGTTCACTCCGGGAACAAAACTTTTTCATTTTTTGAGAAAAAAAAAATAGAAATTTAGAAACACTTGTTTCTAAATGAAGTTTATACATAATATTTGGCAACGAATTTTTTTTGCTTCAGATATTAATGGAAATTTTCAAAAACGAATAAACTTCAAAATTCATCTTCTTCCGCATTTGTGATAATTAAATAAGTATTCAAAAAATGCGTTGGGAATTTTTGTTAAGTTTTTTCGATTAAAAATAAATCGACTCCCTAATTTTAAGTGGCAGGAGATAATTTTAAGCGACAAAATTAGATTCTTGAGGAAAAATCGCGCAAGAAATAGTATTTTCAATTTTTTTTTCTCGAAAAACAAATTTTTTTTCTCTGCGTGAACCTCCCCTTAAATCAAAGCACTTTTCCTCTTATTTTGAGGAAATCTTGATTTTAAATTTCAGAACTTTCAGGTTCTTGAATCAAGAAAATTCCATGCTAATTTTAATCTGCTTATGCTTGTAAATCCTTTCTTATTCAAAGTATCTACCATCTTGGCTCAATTAATGTGGAATTAATGTTCAATTATTCCAGAATTTAATACCTTTTGGATGTTCTTAGGGTAAAAAGTTTTTTTTTTGCTTTTTTTATTTAATAACTTTTTCACATGAAATAAGTAGGTTTTTGGCACTGCATTATAGAATTTTTTCCAGAATTAATTAAGTATCACATTCTCAGTACGATGACTTCGAAAACCATGAGCTCTCAGAACCAGTAATTTGTTCCCCCAAACTAGAAACTTTATTTCTCTGTGTAGTATCTGTGAGTCGAGGGAAAATGACAAAACTTTTGTAACAACCTTCTTTGTAGATCTCATCTTTCTTTTCACAAAATTCTCTGTTCATCCCAGAATCTGAGATATTTACCAACACATCATCATCAAGGGCACAAAACATTTTCATTCACCACTTCACTACTGAATTCGTTACAGTCATATGAATTTTTATAAAATAAGAAACTTCAAAAGAGTTTTACTTACACCAATATGACAAATTAAAATTCTCAGCGGTAATAAGAAACAGTATCTCATGAAAAATCCAAACATCCATATTACAGTTAATCTCCAGGATATGAATTCGTATCGTCTATTGGTTCTCGTGAGGAGGTTCCAATTCTAAAAAGTAAAAAAGAATAATGGGACTCATAACGTATGGCAGCATAGTAATATGTACAAAATAAAATTAAATGAATGGCCCATCACCCAAAGTATTGTGAATTATGGCCACTAAGTTCATAAGTCGTATTACATTTTATAGTAAAAAAATTTGCATAAATGATTAATTAAAAATATATTGATGCTTTTACCTTCAATTCTTCGGCTTCGAATCTCGACGTAACTTCATCCTCAATTATGGCCTCTACACCAGCTTTTATATACTCCAAACAAAATGCAGGATCGAATACTGTTTCAAGGGCCTCGAAAGATTTTTGTTGACTGAGAGCGCGCTGAAAAAAAAGAGAAATGTCTAATTGGAGGTGTTATCGACCTTAGGGAATTCATTGTCGCAGTGAAATTCGGCCCTGTAGTTTGTTGATGTTAAAGAAATTTACAACTCGAAGATTTGCCTCCAAAGAGCCGTATGCGAAAGATTCCACGTAAGGTAAATAACCCTACGCTCCTCTAGCTAAGGTGAACACATCATTAGACCAATATTTCTATCGAAAAGAGCGTGCAGTTGCGATGATTGAAATTACATATCGGAGGGTAAAACCTTCAGAATTGGAATTCATTTATATTAATCAACATAATTACCATTTTTTTAATAAATTATCGTCGATAACTGTGAAAAGTCTCATGTCCCTACACCCGCTCATTTGACACCATGCACGTTTGACATATGTCCCTATCCTCATCTCGTGATTTGAGTGATATGGAAAAGTTATATCCGAACTAATTACATCGTGAGCATACTATTTTGTAATAAAACAACATTAAAAAATATTTCGAGGCACAAAATTATATTTCCATTGGACAGTCTAACCTTTTAAATTCCTTACCCTTTTTTCATTCATTTAGTCCGTTACCAGTTGATTGCGAAACAAGGGTAGGATCAATGCCAATTTCATTGTACTTATTTTTTAATTCGCGATATTTCAGTGAAATATGCGGATATTACTATAATTTATGCATTTTTAAAATTTTTAACTATTCAAAACTTAGTCAAGGGATTTTTAATCCCATATTACTATGTAATATTACATATTATTGTAATGGAGAAACGTGTTAAAATTGTGAGTTTCTTAACTTGTGGCTTAAGAATTGACTCTGTCGTAGCACGAGTTGGTGTGAATGGGATTTTTCTCCCTTATTATTCAATAAATCACTTTTCACTGGTGTCTATAACTTTTCTTATTAACTACAGTAATAACTCCAATCGTCCTTCACTTTTAATAAACTCTTGGGACTATCAAAATGATTAAAATATGATAGCTGGCAGCATCTGAAGGAGCATAGGGACAAAGATGAGTAGAGGTACATTTACCTTAATGATGAATACATTTTTTTCAATAAAAAAACTCGACAGAGGTCATGAGGATTTTATGCAGAAACGTTTTTCATAACTGTTTTCATGAATTCATCAAGGTCGTTTGTAATAGAGTCATCTGCAATAATTTGTGAAGTATCAAGTACAATACCAACGGATGACAAAATCACGGAGAGAACTATTCAATAAAAATTACGTATCTTTTTCGTAATTTCGGAGTGAAATGTGGTTGTAGGAAATTTTACAGAACTGTCAAGGAATTTTTCCAGAGCGTTCCGTAATCGGTGAGCGAATTTTGAGTTCCGCATTTTTTACTGAACATTTCCCTCCGTGAGTAATAAGTCAAATAGTACTAGATCATGAAAGCTGAATTATTATTAATTTATTATTTTTTCATGAATTATTAATCAATTTTTTAATAATAATATTATATTTCGTTACGAGTGCGGAAAAGTTTTTTTGACTCGTGGGAGGTTTATAGCACGAGCTGAAGGCGAGTGATATAATCCCACGAGCCAAAAAACACTTTTCTCACGAGTATCGAACGATATTTTTCATCACAATGTGTGGCAAAGGGACGCTTTAGGCACGCTTAGCGTGCCTAAAAAGTTACTTTTTCGCACAGCGTGATGAAAATAATTAATTAATTCCTTATTATTAATGACTAGTTGAACAATTTGCGTTTAACGCATTGATGAATCATTATTTCCATTCGTTTTAAAAACAATATTAATCAATTAATGAAGGACTGTTTATTTGTCAACGAGTAAAGTTTTCCAAGTTAAAAATTGAAAAAATATCTCCGTTAATAAATACTTGACAAATAAACGTTGTTAATCAAGCGCTATTGCTTGCATGAATCTCTTTGATTTTAGTTCACAACGGTTGAAGCACAGTAGACTCATTCTGTCGATAACCCATTAGAATGCATTGAATTTGAATTGAATTGGTATCATAAAAAAAGAAATCAAACATTAATTGAAATGAAGTGGCTCGTGTTGCGAAGGAAGAATAAGCCTCTTCTGATGTTAAGGAAATTAACCACTGAAAATTTCGCTGTAAAAAAAGTCCTGAAGAGGACCCCCTCAAAATTCGAAACGCTTGGATTTTTTGCCATCAAATTTTGAGTTGAGTTTTTATAATATCACCAGACTGCAAGGCCGAATGTAACTACAATCATTCCAATTTTCTTTTTAAACTATACACTAAAGTTCATTTGACAGAATAGTTTACCTCGTTCTTATTGTCTACGCAATGGGGTTCGTCTTCTTGTTTGTCAGTCGTATTATTGTCTTTGTGTGCATCTGGTTCAGGTACAAGGATCAGCTCCTTGGATCTTGCAATAACTGAATTACCAAGGGATCCATTTTTACCATTTTCCTTGGGATTTTTGTTTATTATAGTTGTAGGAGGCTTCTCAGTAGATGGGGATGAACCACCGCCCTCGTCCTCACTTTCCCCCGCTCCATGATCATAGTTGTTCTTTTCCTTACGGACTTTTTCAATATTCTGTCTGCCGTACTGTAAAAATAAGGGAAATATTAGAACTCTGAAAGTATGTTAGTAACTCCACTGACTCAATTTCACTCTATATAACTTGAGATGTCCGCTTCTTCGGAAATTCACGGAAGGTTCTAGATATCGTCTGCAAAACTCTACAATTTTCCAATGTAGAATGTTCCAGAAGACTGGAGTGTTCTAGAAACCTTTAGGAATTTTGCGATTAATTCAGAAGTTGACCATTCGGAAAATCATAGAAGGTTCTAGAGCGTTATAAAAAACTCCAGACCAATACAGCATTTTTCTGCGAGGGAATTTTAACCCTCGACCGCCAGCCTTTATCCATCGCACGGTTAGCGCAGCGCCGCTGAGTTTCTTGAGCGCGCTGTTGCCATCTTGGCGCTTACCGCTATTCGCGCATTCCAAGTGTGCCAGTGAATGTAGCAACACTGTCGCTCGAGGGGTCGACAGGGACTCACTCGCACCAGGCGGCGCCGCTTTTCTGTCCGTTCAACGTTTCTTTTCTTTTTTTAGCTAAACAAATTTTCTGTACTACTTCTCACGATTTCTTGTCTGGGAATTGGTATTACATACTTCCCAAACTCGAAAACTTGAAAATCACTACAGAAAAATATTATTCCTGAGCTGTTGCGATGGGGTTTTTTTACTCGTGTGGTTGGCCAGTCCTCACCTACGGCTCGGAGGCCAACGCCACACGAGTAAAAAACCCCATCGCAACAGGCCAGAAAAATACTATTCCCGAGAAAAAAACAAACAACTCCAACGCTTAAAAAAAAGATTGAACTAGGAAGTCTAATTTTTTTAGAATTTTTAACCCTCGAGAAACACGCAAAAATATAAAAAACGAAAACGGGCGGCGCCGCGCTCATTGAGCGAGTTATCGAGGGTTAAAGGATAATTACACTTCCATACAGAAGCATTTAATCTCTTCAACATGGAGAACAGCCATCATCTTTTAGTGTCACTATGAACTTTGTGAACACATCTGAACAATTCAAATCTTCATAAAAAATTACGATGCAAACAACAAGTTATGCTCTGGCTGAAGATGTTTGAGAAATGGCCAGTTACAAACGGTATGGGGCGAATGTTAGAAATAGAATTAATATTCATTTGTATATATACTTGTGTATAAAATTTTAAAATAAAAATACCACATATATATCCAATTCGGTTTTTTTTGCGATCGTACTAATGGCAGTAATGATAATTCTCTCCTCAAAACAATGATAAGGTTAAAGTTAAAAACAGGAATATAATTTCATCCAATCATTAGAGATACGAACAATCCAATAAACAAAAGCAAAATCTCATGGTAGTAGTTGTATGAATTTTTTTCCAGAGTCTGGAAAAAAAATAATTAATGAAACTTCATACAACTTTGACAATCGAAGAAACATGAATATTCATTTTTGCAAGATTCCACAGTCTAACTCAATAAAAATAATAATGTGCGTTATAATCACCCATAATTAAATTTTTTTGGCTTTCAGACTTTTATTAACTTACTGAAGTGAAAATAAAAAATTGAACTGATAAACGTGGGTTCAAAGAATTATAAAAGAAGTGATAGCAATGGGAAAGCTTGCAAAAAGTACTTCATTTTCTGCTTAGTATATTTGTTTCGCATATACTTCTTCAGAGGAGCTACCACCGCTTCAATAAGACCACTGAAATATTATTAATGTAGATGAGCACTTCAACCAGTGTTCATTGTTTCTATCGAATGTCCATGTGGAAGTAGCCTTTGTTCGTGATAAGAGATGGACAACCGAGTCATGAACTTCGGACTTAAACCTCATGGTAAACATTGAGAGAAATCGACTAGTCGGTGCTCAAGCCCAGAAGTTGTTGAATATTTGATTGCAGCCAATATTTACCCAAACAATCTAAGTAGCTTTTTCTCGATGAGAGGATTAATAAGAAGAAGAGAATGCTTAATTCATTCATGTTATGGGAGGGCGTGTTGTACTAGAAATTATACCAAATTAGTCTTCCAGGTAAATAACGAAGAATTTATTTTAATCGAGTGTTGAGTCGGTACACAGAGAGAAAAATATATTTAAAAAAATTGAACGACGGCGGTGGCTGTGTGGTTGGAGTGTGGGATTGGCATGTGGGAGACCCGGGTTCGATTTCCGGCTCGCAAGTCTCGGGAGCCTCGCAAGAGACGACTGTACCTGGGCAGGTTTTTCCCTCAAATGAGGTTTTCCCTTGTTCTTCGGCGAATGCGGTACAGGGAGTTGGGGGGTGGGAAGGGAACAAATCGTAAAGACCCGAAAGGGTATACGAGAAGAAAAAAAATTTATATAAAAAATTAGTGTACTACCCACTAACGCCGGAACATAATTTCATTCGGAAGTCAATTGGTAATTTATTAGAAAGAATATATTAATATTTATATTTACATATTTTTACGTCTGCTCTGGGAAATGAGATAGCACGAGCTGCCATTGCGAAAGCAAACAAGGCAACTGGCGCAGTCCTCAATGAAATTAAAAATCTTGGAGTAAACTCTTAGAGCACACTCGTTACCCTCTATAACTCCCAAATTTTATCCACACTTTTATATTTAGTAAGATTTTTTCAAATGTGCCCTGAAATTACCAAAAAATACCCCAGGCTGGGCAATTAGAATAGAATGTAATTTATCTGATATTAACTATCGTATAATGAAGTACGCTTGGGGCTGGTTTCTTAAAATAATAAAAAAACGATTAGTCATACATCCCACGTATGTCTGTTGCGATTAATTCAACTAAATAATTTGGAATGATATGAGGAGGAATCGTACAATTGGGCTGCTCAGATTGAAATATTCCTTGAATTATTGAACTTTAGCAACATTTGGATTAATCCAGTTCCCTTTATAAGCGCAAGACTCAAATCTTTACCAACTATGGAAATATGTTGAGAATTAATGATTTAACTGATCCTCCTGCCAACTTCCTCCTGACCCCTCGCCCCTCGAGTTGATCTCCAGGATTATCGTTGGTACTCAAAATACTTACTTCACAAACATACTCTACACCTAAAGCGAACAATAGCACAACTAAGGGTAAATGTTAAGAAAGAGGGCCCCACCACCGATCTTTCTGAAAAGTTAACCACCGATCCGATGGTTAACTTTCCCCACCGCCGATATTTCTTGACATTTACTCAAATAAGATTACCCGAGTAGAAATTGCTTCAGGCCCACCTGAAGCACGATCAGAACTTGATCAGGTTTTTGTAAGGTTCGACTGATCCGGTGATGCCTGATGAGAACCTGACCAAGTCCTGATCCAGCAGATCGGATCCGAAAAACTACAGGCGGATTCAGATCAAGTTCTGGTCAGATGATGCCTGATGAGAACCTGACCAAGTTTTGATCCAGTAGATCGGATCCGAAAAACTGCAGGATGATTCAAATCAAGTTCTGATCAGGTAGGCACGATCTCACCCTGAGATCGGCTGCCTGACCCCAATTTGAGCAAATTCGGATTTGATGTCGTTGATCGGCATTTGAACGGAGTCAATTGAAGAGAAAATGATCAGATTCTGATTCGGTCCACATTTATTTATTAGTGTTATTGTTATTATCATTATTATTATTCATTAATGAAATAAATAAAAATTTAACTGAACATATTTTATCTCTGAGAATACACACGCACATCCGCGAGATCAGGAATAATCGTAAATTCAACGAATACTCCGATACAAATCATATAGGCAATGTACAGTTTACTCAATAGTAATACCGCGATAGCGTAGTGGTTAGGGCATAGGATTAGTAATCATAGGGTCCCCGGTTCGATCCCCAGTATCGGTAAAAAAATAATAAGCTTTTTCAGAGGTAATAACAGTGGAGATTCATTAAGAGAGGCGGTCTACGGTGAAAGAATTGAATTATCTTTTGTTTTGGATTAATTATCATTGATAATTGTTATTGATACTGACAGACAGGTCATCCGGTTTTCATACAGTTGACTTGATCAAGTTCGGATCCA